CACACACACACACACACGCAAAAACATTATTGTTCGCCTTCTGCCTTTTGGTGGCCTCTGAGAATAAACAGATAACATTAAAGCACTTTAACCATCACTTTAAATGAAATTAAAACAGGAATTGTCATTTACTCATAAATAGCTTGAAAATGATGCAACAGATGTCTTAACATATTTCTGAGTGGAGACCCCCAATCTACCACCGAAGTTGTTTTATTCTGCAAACACAAACCGACTGCACGGACAAACAGGGAGACAATTCCTCTAATGCTGACTGCTGCTGAAGAGTTTTTTAAAGTCCCAGGGGTCTTCATTATTTTTTCCAGATGCTATTATCTCCAAATAATTATGTGGCCTCTTCAATCAATCACTTTGCCTTTAAGAGCCAATTCCACATTTTAGTGCAGAGCTAAAAACTGCAAGTTCTGTTTTTAAGCATGTTAAGACATTAAGACAGGGTTGTTTGTTTAAAATGTGAGGTAATGACTCTGTGCAGTGGTGGCTGGTCCATAGGGGGCACTGGGGCACTGCCCCACCTGATAAGAAGAAGAAGAAGAAAAATATAAAATATACTTTTATAAATCTAGTTATAAATGTTGGTTTTACTCACTAGTGTACGCCTRCATGTAATATGAATTATATCAACTATATTTGCCACCTATTGACATTTATTCACCAGTAAATTTCCACAAACTGGTTTTGCTTCTGTAATGGGGTGATAGACAAAGAGCCTAAGAAGTGCAGTCTCTTAACCAATCTCATACAGTTGCTAGGCAGATTAAAAATTAAATGGGCCAATCAGTGTTGCAGAATTTTATGGTTCTGGGGCTCTGCAGATTTTGCCAAGCCTGGTAAAAACCAGACCCTGTCCTTCACTTTGCTTCGTACTAAAGTCTGSACTTGATGCATAGACAAGCGTTTCATGCAGGAGGCGTGGCCTCTGCTAAAGCATGTATGTGTTGTCGCTGTGACGGAGGCTAAGCTAAGAAGCTAACCGGAAGTCGCGTGTGCTGTAAACAACCCTACTGAGAGGAGAGAAGTACGGAGCCGAACGAGACGGCTGTAAATGAG